CCCTCGAGTCCAGTTAGGTAGTTAGGGAGACGACGGTTGACAAACATGTGTGTTTGTTTAGCTGTGTAGTCGCAGCAGGTAAGGACGGGCTTGGCTCCGCTGCCGCTGGAACCTCCCTTCCATTCATCTTCGCCGCCCCCAGTGACGTGGATTCCGCTCGACTTCTTATAGGGCAACGCTTGGTAGGGGTCCCGGTGCGAACAGCGTATCGGCGCCTGCGCGTCGGCTATAGCAGATGCGTGCTCTGGCCTAAAATATCCGGCAGATTGTCTACATGTCGTCGTCGTATTCGGCTGCCACTGCCCGTCGAAATGTTGTCAACTTGCCCGAGGATGAAGACGTGATGCAATCCAACCGAATCGCAGTGATCGAAACGGGCATGGAAGCCCGAAGACGTCGAGGGGTCCAAAGTCACGTCATCCCCGTGAGACTTACGCAGTGGGTTCGAGCCTCCCGATACGTAGGTTTGTTGGCGATTGCAATGGCTTTTAGTTATTGAAATTTTTAATGTTTTCTTTTGTATATATGTATTAGGTGTTTCAGAAAGATCTGTCGTCTTAAGATGGTCTAGCTTTAGTCGCCCTTTTCCGAGTTATTTTTCGTTGCTCTGTTGTAATATAGTATACCATTTGCAAGCGCATTTCTTGCTCTTTCTAAAAGTTGCATCATTCGCTTCGTCTTGACTTCCTAGCTTTTGCAGAAGCTTTGAAAAACATGAACAAACGACAAGTTTGCACCATCTTCCTTTTCCGGTTCAAATTAGGTAGGAATGCGGCGGACACGGCACGAGATATCAACATAGCGTTTGGACCTGGAGCAACGAATGCACGTACTGCACAGCGATGGTTCGAGGAGTTCCGTAACGGCGACGAAAGTCTCGAAAACGGTGATGGTGGTAGTTTGGTGGTCAGCGGCTGGTTTAAGAACCTATCACAGCTGGAAAATGTTGCCAGAATATCGAAGAACTGCAGCAGAAGCTGTAGCTCGTGAGCCCTGGATTGGTGAGCTTGAAGGGGTCGATCCTGCTCCACGGCAACGCGTGCTCCCATGCCCCACAGACTACCCCGAAGAAATTGGACGAGCTCGGCTATGAAGCTCTGTCACACCCACCGTACTCAGCTGACCTCACTCCTACCGACTACCACTTTTTTAAGCATCTCGACAACTTCCTCCGAGAGGAACGCTTGAACAATCGACACGATGTCAAATCGAGCTTCCTTGGATTCATCGCTTCTAGATCTCCAGAGTTCTACGCAACTGGGATAGGCAAACTTGTTACTCGTTGCAAAAGTGTGCATATAATGATGGTTTTTATTTTGATTGATGAAGTTTTGTTTCAGCCGAGATATGTGCATTGAAAGTTGAGCGTTGCAAAACGACGGAACTTATTGAAACGCCTAATATTTATGTTGTTAATTCTACCATCCCATGCTTTCAATTATTAGTGGCGTACTTATGATGGACTGTCTCGAATATCTTGAATATTGTGTTGAAAGCTCAACATCGTAGACGGTTTACACGCCGTGGAAGGTTATATCCGGTTAGACCGGTGTATAATAGTTGCGCTGTGCGTGGTCTGCTCCGTGTTGTAGGACGGCACGCGTAGGGTGATAGTTGGGGTGTAGGACCAACGTAGGGGCTGCAAGGCCCAAAGCAACATCCTGCGTGGCAAGCAGGCAGGAGCGAGCGCCAAGTTATACCCCGGTCGGACATTCACGCCAACGGCGACGCCGCTCCTAAGCGCGGCGGACCCCGATGCCCATCTAAAGCGAGGAGCAAGGCGTCACCCTCGGGCGACAGGGTGGAAACAGCTGCCTAAAAGTGGGACTAAGTTGGCGACCTGTACCTTCAACGCACGAATGCTCGCAAAGAAAGCGTGTATCGAAGATCTAATAGTGCAAGCTAGAAAGATCATGTACGGCGTCATCGTACTGGCCGGGACGGGAGCGCGCGGCACATCGTATTGGAGACTGGATAACTGTTTCTCGGGATACGCGATAATCATCGGCGGGTTAGGTGTCCCAGTCAATACGCTTTTCCATGAACATTGTTTTTTGCGAAAGCATGATACCCCGGATCTGACGTCTGCGATAAGATGGTGTGGCTCAATCTTAGCTTTGAAATCTTTGTTGCCAACGCTTCAACATCAGGATATGAAGAAGAGGGGCTGGAAGTATTTTATATGGACCTGTGAAGGCGTTTCAGAGAACACCACGTTTTCTTTAGGGACACCGTCGGTAATTTCAACACCAAAATTGACCCCAGAAAAGCGTTTGAAGAACTACTTATCGAATCTCACGGAAAGGAATCGAATGAGCAGGGTGAAAGATTATCGGACTCGACCCACACTAACCATGGCTCGCAGCTCCAAAAGCCCTTTCATTTTTGGACTTAAGATTCACCTGGTTGACAGTTCCATGATGAAATAGACTACATCATCTCCAATCCTAGGTTTTGCCTGACTCACTCTGATGTTGTTCCGAAAACCTAGTTCATCAGACCATTGTCTCCTTCGAACTAGATTCTTTTGCAGTGCGTGAAGAAAGCTATTGAGTTTAGAAAACGAAACCCAAAGGCCTCTATCAGGAAACTTCCTATGTTCAAACTCTATTCAGAATCGCTCTACGTGCAGGTAAAATTGTTCGAGTCAGCTAAAAGAATGATGGACAAATTCTTGCAGTGAGGGGAGTCGGCAGTGAGGTGGGCGGGGTTATGTTCAAGCACTAAGTTCTGCTCAAGTCAATCATGCGGGACGCCCTCAAAAGCGGTCTCACAGGGTTAAAACCTAGAGTGAATCATCTTATCCTGATGCATCAAACATTCCGCCTAGCAATTACATAGTAGATGAGTGATCGTGGGCGTATAATTCGCGCATTAGCGTTCATAGCCCAACTGGTTTATTTGTAGGCATTTCTCCTTATAAGCTCGATTATGTAGAGCAGAGACACCGGCTTTCATTAAGAAAATGATATTCTAACAGAAGCCGTTGCATAGTTCGTTGACGTCAGTCTTGCAGTGCCAATTTTAGAAAGTTGATTGGTCGCCTTTAGGGTTTGTGCGCTAGCCCATTATAGGCTACCTTATCGTCCACGCAGCCACTGACAGAGTTTGTGTTGGGGCTTGTTGCAGAGCTGCGTAAAACTCTTTTATAATGATATGCTGTCGTCACATATTACTATAACAGTCAAAGAAAAAGGATATCAAATCTATATGCTGGAATATTGAAAAGAAATGAATTACACCATGAACCATTAAGAACTCGATCAAGAATTTATCCACCGCTAAAGGTTCAACGCTCCGCGCCGAACCCTCGACGCTCTAATCTGGAAGTGCCTTAGGAAGGATATGTAATTTTGTTGTACTCTGGTTGTATTCCTACCGAGAAATGATTTTTTTCTAGTTAAATTCGTTCATGAGCCTTGTTGGAGCTACTCAGATATGTTAAAGAGGAACATGTGCGCATTAAGCTTATGGAACTAAGTCCGATTTTTCTTGTGGAAGAAGTTAATTTAGCACATTCTCCAAAATACAAATAGTTTTGTTACTTGTATCATGAGCATCTTCTGTCGTCCCGCTAATCATCGATTTTCTCGAGCAGGCGCCAATAACGTCTCCAATCGCCCCTTTTGCGAGTCAGAGTAGTCTAGAGGGTTGACCTCGCTCGAGGGACACGAGGTAAAGCATTTCTTTCGACCAGAGCTTTCGTGAAAAAGTCTGACCATCGCGTTGGCAGCCGTTCTGGTATTCGCTTGACGTCCCGAAGGATCCACTTCGTAACCGCCTTGATCCAACGGTCATCACTATATCGCATGACGTGCCCTCCCCATCTGATTTTCGATTTCATGGCTAATCAACAGCATCCTTAATCTTCGTTCGTCGACGAATTCGGAACTCCGAATTCCCTTCTGCACTCGCGTGTATAGGGAAATTCCGAGCATCGTCCTTCCCACAGCGCGACGAATGACGCTAACTGCATGCTTAACCTGCTTTTGTAGAGTCCAAGTCTCCAACGCGTAAAGCAGGAAAGAGAGCAGTGTCAAAAAGTTGAGCGGGAGCCGGATGTTCTTCGTCCTCTTCACTACTCCCTCGATATTCTTAGCTGCTCTTCACGCCGCACGTTTTCTTCCGCTCAGCTCCAGAAACAGCTTCTTCGTCATATTGACTTGTCGTCATAGAGACACGTAACTAGAGCATTCAGAGATAATCTTCCGTTTAGAGTGAGGAGAGCAATTTTGTCTATCTTATCTATCACATCTTACTCATATAATACTTGCTGGTGTCCAGGTTGTGGTAATGATCGCGGCTAGATGTTCAGGCAATCACAGCCAGCCCATCCTACCCAATGATCAAAACTTGCATAGTGTTGCATGCTTTCCAGAAGGATACTTGTCAAAAAAAATTGAGAAAAAAAGGAAGTGGTTTGTTTTGATTCGTGATCTCAGATGACTCATTTAATAGCCTTTTGTTGGCCTGCTATAGTAATTTTACCAATTTTTATCTCACAGTAATACGGCTGAAATCGAAATTACTTTCGCGATATTCTGTAAAAGTAGTTTGTGTGATGCATTTTAAAGGTCAGCGATAAGTAATACAATTACAGACACTGTTTCTCATAAGCATGATACACCCACATACCCGTGATGTTTACACTCCTTTCATCCAGGGTTTTCGCGAAAAAGCTTGATCATTGGGTTGGCAGCAGTCTGATGATCGTTTGACGTGCGAAGACTCACTCAGTGGTCCAACAGTCATCACAAAATCGCATGACTGATCTTCGGTTATCCGGCTAAGCGCATTGGTTTTAAAAAGTGAAAAAAACACGTTTGCTCAGTCATGACCAACTGGAGCGAGAATCATGGATACACAACTATAGTGATAAGACCTTCATTCAACGATAGAAACACAATAATTTGTCGAATTGTTTGCAAAATGTATTTCAATTACCAAATACACTATTAAGAGTACATAAGCAAAGAAGATTAACAGATCGCAATCCTTCAATGAGTAGGAGCATCTAAAGGTATAACATCCTCAACTTTCACTGCACTGAGCTGTCCGGCTTGGGAATTGATTTTGTAAATCTGAAGCGAATTGAGTTGTTTAATACACGACCATTCACTCACTGTCCTCATGATCAGTATGGAATCATCAGTCATCAGACATTACGATGTTCGATGTAAAGAAAGGATGACAGTTCTCTATATCCGATGCTTCTGTTAGGCAGATCAGTGCCACATCTAGCTGATCTGCACCAAATTCCCAACACTTACAATGGGAGGCGGTCGTTTGACGCGATCCCTCCCATCGCGCCGCGGTTTGCGAGCTGGACAACTCGTCCGGTGATTGGGCAACCCACTGACCATCCAGCCCGATCGATGATCTGCTACTATTAGATGCCTAATTGTGGACCTGCTTGTATTCTGCCTATCAGTGTGGCGTCATCGATCGGGCTTCTATCAGCTGGATGGTTAGTGGGTCGCTCGATCAGCTGGACGAGTTGTCGAGCTCGCAAACCGCGTCGACTAGGCGGCGCGATGGGAGGAATCACGCCAAACGACATACACCCTTTACAATTAGAGCTAGCAAATAGAGTGTGGCGATAGCAACAATACAAAATATTTTCGAAATACGTACCGCTTCGGCGCCACCATGATAAAGTGGGCACATCGATTCGCAAATCTCCTCGACAGTATTTTTTTCCTGAAATGCATACCATTCAATGAAAAGGTATCTGTGACCCAAAACATCTGCTAGTCATGGGATGTGGGTCGTGGCGCGGTATTGTAGCCGCATGCTCGGGCAGTCTTGTCAGGACCCTCTTTCAAAATCGAAGATGAAGGGTCCGTGAATGAAAAATTAAGACCGGTTCATGTACGATTCATATTCATAGTAACTGTGTAATCTGTTTGCAGCGAATGAAACCAAGTACATGTCCGGGAAGTATCGGTGACCTTTCCCTAAAAACTAGACGTCTGTATGATAGATTGTTTATTGCTTTTTTTTCGTTCAGACATGATTTGTTGGTGATCAGATTCACAGTTTCCTAACGTTGCAAATTCGCTACGTCCACCCTGTTTGATTGAAATATGGGTTGGACGAAATATAAATGAGAAGTAAGTTGTTTTCTGAAACTTATGACTTTTTGTTTTCTATCAGCATCAATCTATCTCTGTAAAAGGTGATTCCACCAAATTAGCTTTTTTTCTCGTGTCCTATTTTTTTCTCATGACCCCATACTAAACAGGTTTCCGGAAAGCGAGCATGCAGGTTTTCAAGTTGGGAAGAATTGACCTTTCACAATACAGAAGTCTGTCGAAGATTTATGAAGTAAGACATCTGGACTTTCCTAGAGATAAGAAAGCTTTGAGATACATAGTTATCACCGATGACGATCCCGAGTGGTAGACGACAAAGCATTAAAAACCCTCAAGACAGGTCCTTGCCAAAGTACGTGCCAACTCATCGAGATCTTTGTGTTACACTAATTGGCGAATGTCAACCGTATTGAAACCGTTCAGAAAAGATATCGCTACAGTAATGGATGCCAAAACTGCTCTGCAAAGTCGACGAGACAAAGTTCCTCAGATGCTAAGCTATTTTTTCACCGATTCGTAAAGGTTTATATTCAGCGGTCACATGGGAAACTTTTCGATTAGGGGCAAGCAATTTTTGCTAATCATTCGTAACAGTGGGAGGTCAGTGTCGAAACGATGTCCCTTTATCCATGAACAGAATACGCGCTGTGTTCNACATAGTTATCACCGATGACGATCCCGAGTGGTAGACGACAAAGCATTAAAAACCCTCAAGACAGATCCTTGTCAAAGTACGTGCCAACTCATCGAGATCTTTGTGTTACACTAACTGGCGAATGTCTGCCGTATTGAACCCGTTCAGAAAAGATATCGCTACAGTAATGGATGCCAAAACTGCTCTGCAAAGTCGACGAGACAAAGCTCCTCAGATGCTAAGCTATTCCTCCACCCATTCGTAAACGTTTATATTCAGCGGTCACATGGAAAACTTTTCGATTACGGGCAAGCAATTTTTGCTAATCATTCGTAACAGTGGGAGGTCAGTGTCAGAAACGATGTCCCTTTATCCATGAACAGAATACGCGCTGTGTTCCTGAACTAGACAATTCTGACTGTAGAAGGCCTTCTCTTTGCACAAGCACAATTGAGGTAAGGCTCTATGGCCCCTTCGTTCCTATCGATGCCGTATTTTGTAGAACAAAAGCAATTGCCTTGGTTCTCTATCATCCTGGAAACAGCACGGAAAGCCCTATCCAACAAGGATCTCGATGGCGATTACTTCTCACGAGAAAACTCTAAAGGGTAAACGGGCACAGGGTCAGAACGAACTGCACGAAGTTAGGATGGTCAGAATTCCCGAAACTGTAACCTCGCCCTACGAGTTGTCGTCAATGCAACACTCCAGAGTTTGGACACCTGATCTCTTTTAAAAGGGAGTTGGTTGATAAGTGATTCAGATAATCAATATCCCCTCAGCGTTCAGTCTATTTTACCCAGAAAAATGGCTCTGTTGATTACAGAGTTAAATGAGTTTCGCATGAGTCCAGTTTTTTCCATAGTTCGCTTGAAGGCTTGGGAAGATGTGCAGCTTATTATGTCATGTAAAAGAAATACGACAACTTGTGAAAGTATTTAATGGAACTACTTGTGGCAGGCTGCTGGAAGCTGAAATAATCGTGAATCTTCAGAGTGCCTTATCATTCTGCATTGCTACCTATCGTGGATATACAGCAACGGTCAAAAGCCTTCGATGACACTTTTTAACTTTTTCCCTAGAGAAGGGGTTCAAGAAAAATTTTGCCTCTACTACAGAAGCGACTTTCCTTTATTGCAAGCTAGCGATAACTGCATTTTTTGCATCCCATTTGTGTTCGACGTTAGTTCTTGTACAGTCAAGGCGCGCATATAAGGACAACAGTCACTCTGAGAGTTTGGCTAGCAGCAGCAGACATAAAGGAATCGGGCATGGAAGTCACGGTCACTCCAAGAATTTTGAAGGACCCACGCAGGTGACATCTTCGATTATACCATGCTGACAGGTCAGAAACTCTATTTGCAATTCTCAGAGAATGGAAAGACTTCGACGTGCTGTATCAGGCCAGGACGGACGGGTCACACTCCGGCCGAGGGCTCGCCTTCTCCTCACTAGGCTGACGTTGCTGCTGAGTTCAGCGCTAGCGATGGCACCATTGCTAGCCGGTAGACTGTAGGAGGAGCCCTGAACAGTGTTGGTCTTCATGGGAATCGTTCGACCAAAAAGTCGTTCATTAGTCCAAAAAGTAAAAGAGCTAGAGTGGAGTTCGAAACCTCAACTGGACGTCTACTGATCGAAGTAGAGTTCCTTCTAAAGATTGGAGCAAGTTCAGTTAGTTTGGAATCGATGGTATACGGTGTCCACCTGAGGGAAGGTTCAATGCAAGTACACCTTTCCCACAACCAAGCATGGTGGAGGGAGTGTGATGTTGTATGTTGCCTTCTCCCCGAACGGAACGGGCCCTATTTTGTGAAGTGACGGCACAATGACAGGGGAGTAGTACAAGAACATGGCGGTCGATGTCGTCTTGCCATGGACCAGCAGGATAGATCCTGCAGGAGGGAAATGTTCCGAAACAGTTCTCAATAGATGTGAAGGCAGCCTTCAGCGAACAACGAACCATACTTCTGGAGAGGGCAAGCCAGTCATCGGATCTGAGTCCTATAGAGCACATGTGTGGAGAGCTCAAATAGCCTTTTTCGAGCAAGCTTTGTGAAAGCAGTGAAGACAAACTCGCGTAGTAAGCGAAGGAGAGGACTTCATGCCAGTGTCTACCATTCAAAAGCTAATCGACTTCATGCCTTACCAATGCGATGCTGCCATCAACAGTCGAGGTTTCCTACCAAGTTTCGATGTTTTTGATGTCTTACATGTTGTTATTCCGAATTAAAGCGGCATTTACTAGGACGATGCTATCCGTATTTCCCACTGAGTTTGAATTAAACCTCACTAACGTACAGTGAACAATAGCAAATTGCAGTTTAATAGCAGTAAGTATTCACGATATACCTCTGATTAACATACTGAAATTTCATATGATTTTATGAAGTAGGACAAAAAGAAGTAGGAAAACATTTGGAAAAGCGTTTCACTAAAGACTTTTGGCCGCTACTGTGAATGTGAAAACGTCATGTTCGTCTCTCGATAGACCTCGACATAGTTACAGTATACCGGATAGCAATCTCAGAGTTCAAGGTTCCAGCTGTAAGGAGAACGTTATGTGGAGGCTTAGTTTCCACGTATTGACCCACATTCTCTCCTTCGGTTCGATGCTTGGCTCGGATTCGGAATGCTTGCAGGGTTTTGCGAGCGGCCGTCTAAGTTTCACTTCAAAGATGTCTCCGTTATGAGGTTCCAACTTGTGGCAGCCTAAGCTGTAGATAGCAGCGGTTAAAGAAATTCTGATAGCCTGTTGCCGTACTGACGTCCTCGTGAGCTGATTCCACTGAACTAAAGGCTACCGTACTTTATCTGCCTATTAGTTATATGATGGCTTTATTAGTCTCGAAGTGGAAGCAGGGTAGTGAGAGTTATATCGGATAAGTCGTAAATAGATTAGTTGCTATCTTTTTTCGGACTCCGAAGGAGACGGAATCTCCCAAACGCTATCGAGTGGGATCGTCTTCAACCTCCTGCGCTGTTAAATCAAATAAATATCGTACAGGAATAACCGCGATTTCTTTTTTGCACTTTTCATTGCTTTACAGCGAAGGTCCGTTCCTCGGTTCCGAAAACANTTTCGCCAGCTTTCAATAGGCTAATAAAATGTAGTAACGTCATTTTTTGCTTATGCTCTATCGGTCATCTTTACAACAGGAAACAGGAAAATTGTGTTCGACACATTGGCACATTATCTAGTACAATGAAATTACAGCTGAGTGCTAGTAAATAATACCAATATTGTGAAGATTTTGTAGTGTGGACTCACCCATGGGCCACACCATCCTTCCTGGAACAAAGCAATGACTTCGTAGTCCGTGGAGTCATTAATCGTTCGTTTTTTTGCTTCCATTAACTGAAAATGGGTTTCAGCAAGTTACTGGTTCTCTGAATCGTTCTACGGAAACGATCTTTGCAAAACATAATAGAAGTGCTTTAATACATAGTTGAACACTTTTGTACTTTGCTTAGCCATCTTCTGATTCTGGTCGTAGCGTGAGGACCGACACTATGCAGGTTCTTAGGTACAGGCAAGAAAAGCAAGGTTACATGATACTAGCTGGCACGATCAGAATGACCTGGACCTACGCAGTTTGGAAGTGCTCAAACAGCACCATCCAACGTACGAAGCTTTGCTGAGCATTTGCCGACTCTGCGGCCATACGAAAATTAAGAACAGTACTAACCTTTTTGGGAACCATGAAGCGACCAGATCTGACGTTCTTGTTGATTACCGTAGCCGCAGCATCCCACGCCATGCCCTAAATAAAGGATAAAGTTTTGACGTTGATCAATCCAATCTGAGGGATGCGCCCACCGCATTCAACTTCCATTCGGAATCGTAGTGGCGGATTGAATGCGTATGTGCCCCATACCATGATTTGAAGTGGCCAGCCGATATACTGCTCATGCTTGCATCCTCCTAGACGAGCTGGTACTAATTCACCGACCCCGGGGCGATGGAAGGCTTAATTGGCCTAGGCAGCCATCCGGAATTCGAATCCCTGACCGTGCGTGTGATATAGTGCGCCACTTGCCACTACACCACCTCCGCCCCAAAAGCTCATTTCAATCGCATGATTTTTCGAGTACTTGCAACGAGAAAGACAGGCGGAAGTACGCAACACAAGTTCACCTTCCGTATCGCTTTGAAAGGATTCTCTAACAACAAGGGAGCTACCTTTTTCAGGGGAAGACGTTATTTTACCCTTACCTTTACTGCTTCTTCATTCCAATGTTCTACGCTCCTATTACTAATATGAAAGAGAGGTCCTAACCCGGCATGCACTATTGAAGGCAGTGGAAAGATTGTAAATTACATATTTTGGGTCAGTTCAAAAATAGCGGGTCAAGAAAGAAGGTTGCCTTTCTTAACGATGATATATGTAACATCCTTGTTCTTCGATGAACTTTCCCTGACTTTCACAAGTTTTTTTACTCTGTGCTGAAAAAGTTTCGCGATTGCATCTATGACCAGTTTTGCACCACACAGTAGTGCCTTCATCGGTACACATCTTTACTACTGTAGTGATTCTCAAGCCCAAATCTAATGTGAAGTTTAGGATGAGAAAGTGTAGATGGTGAACATCGACTCGAACACGCGAGGGCCGTGGAGTCTACAGAACCGGAAAGCTTGCCATTGTCTAGTACTGTTATGAGTTGGAATAAGACATACATATGACCAAGTTGGTAGTTTCTATTAAAAAGTAGGTAATCCGTCATTTCCCATTCTTTCCTTCTTTTGTCC